GATGAAGATTCTGATAATGATTATTTTAGACACTGTATTGGACTATCATACAAATTGGTTTTTTTATGTATAATCTATTTCCACTTGCTACAATTTAGTAAAAACTAAGTAAGAAACCTAAATAAGCTCAGTACATTCTAGGAATATGAAGAAAATATGTGGGTGGTGCCTTCTAGAGAAAATTTCTGCTCCTAACTTGTTCAAGCTATGAGTATAGGGGACCCTTTTAGAATGGCTTATAAAACATACTGTTTTCACATCTTTGTATTTTCATTAGTTCTCTTATATCTGCTTGTAATTGTTTTCATTCATTCTTTCATTTATCAAATATTTTTTGAGCATCTACTCTGTGCCAGGCATTATGCTGAGTTTGGGAGATTCAGTGATGGTTCTTTTTGCAGTTCATTCTGTCATCCCCCTCTTACCTCTTGGCTTTTGCACACATGCTATTCCCTCTGGCTCTAATGTCCTTCTTATCCTTCAAATTTATATTTAAATATCACCTTTTCTAGGAAGCATTCAATAACCCCCTCAATATTGGATTAGATGTATTTCCTCTCTACTCCCTTCCATAGCACTTATTCTTTATTACATTTGTCTGTTTGCTACCTTTCCTACCAAATTCTGAGCCCCTTGAGACCAGGGATTCATTGATTAATTATAATTAATTAATAGCATATATAATCTAGTATCTATATTAATAACATAGAATTAATTTATTTTTATATATTAATTTATTACTATATTATTATACTGTGAGCCTATATTAAGGCAACAATGAAAATAACTGAGATTATTCAACCTTCTCACCTCTTAGGATGATACCCATAAAAAATAATAATTAGGTTAATGATCATTCATTCAACAATGCCTTCTATGGGCCACTCACTAAGTGCTGATTATTCAACAACTAAATTTCCTACTCTTGTGGAGTTGATGACACTCAAGTGGGTAGGGAAAGATGTTTTTTCTGTGTCAGATACTGTTCTAAGCATTTAACATGTTTTAACCCATTTAATTCTCACAACAACCCTATGAGGTATATTTGTAAGTTGTACTGATCTTACAAATGAGAAACCAAGGCCCAAAGAGATTAAGTAACTTGGCCAAGGATATATAGCTGGCAAGTGGCTGATCTGGAATTCGACTCAGGTTGACTCATTTCAGAGTTTACACTCTTAATCACTACACCACAGAACCCTCTCATCTGCAAATCTCTTCAAGGATTTTTGCTCTAACTTTTCCAAATTACTTGATATCCCAGAATATTCCATGTCATTATATACTCTTGCCCACCAAAACACCAGTTTAGGTAACTGTCCTCTTCTTTATCACCCTTAATTATAATTGTCTGTCCCCCATTCTAGACAGTGATCTCTTTGAGGGTAGATATAACATTTATCATATTTGTCTTCACTGTTGTATCCCCAGGGCCCAGCACACTGGTCACTCAATTAATGCCTATTAAATGAATAAATAACTGACTCTTAGAAATCAACATAAATATTTTTATTTGTGCTTTAAGCTGTTGTGTTTCTGAAAGATTATTTGCAGTTTTATGATTTTTGAAAAGATACTGGCATAGTACAATTATATACAGAAATTGATGTTGAGACATTACAAAATTCACTATGTGATGTCTGACAACTTGTTTTACAAACTTGTTAGAATCAGTGTATTTCAGGAAACATGCTTTCTTAGCTCTTTAGTTAATGGTGTGCTTTTCAGGAAACACATTTAGACATATTCATTGAATTGTCTAAGATCATACAGCTAGTTAGTGACAGTGTTGGCCTAGAGCAAACACAGGTCTCCTGTCTCCCAATCCAATGTTTTTTTTCTCTTTATAGACACCTTGCTGACATTAACGCAAATCCAGTTGAATTTGGAAATACTGTCTTAGCACAGATCAACCCGCCTATTTCTTTTTTTTTTTTTAAGATTTTATTTTTTTATTTTTTAGAGAGCGAGCGAGAGAGAAACAGCATGAGAGGGGAGAGGGTCAGAGGAAGAAGCAGGCTCCCCGCTGAGCCGGGAGCCCGATGTG